ACTTTTGGCAGCTTTACAGCAAAATCGCTTCTTAAAGAGGCGATTTTCCTGTAAAGCTGCTAAAAGTGTCAGCTTTTGGGACACTTTTGGCAGATCTACAGTGGCTTTCCATGTTAAAATTGCCCAACCAAACGGGCCCTTGAGTAAAATCTATAATCCTGTCCGAGTAAAATTAATAAAAGAAATTTCGTAAAAGTCCAATGCATTCCTTTCTAGAAAGCAAACAAAATCAGAATACAGAAGAACCGCCTAATGAAAACTGTCGGAACTATTGCCCTTCAAGAAAAATCAGTAAAAGGATTTGTTAACCGGTGCCCCTGGGGCACCAATTTTCCACCTTGAGCGGCGTGAATGTCAACAAAAGCTATTATTGTTGCCATGTATGTAAGAATTGGGATAAATTAAGCAAATGAATTTAATATTTTTTTTGTAAGAGGCAACGTATCATATCATACTCCCTTTAAAAAAAGGAGTTGTGGTAAAACTTTCTACAGACTATATTACCCCTATTCTCTTTTGATATTACATTCTAATACTAACTAAACTAAATTAATTATCATTGTTAATTAACTACATTATATGTCACTTTAAGTTTGCATAATTTGGTCCTTAGAACTTCCAACGTTATTATAAAACTCCACATCATATTAATTATTAGTAATGTATAATAATATATTAATAGATAATTGCATGTCAATAAAGTATTTAATTAATTATTAGTAATGTATAATAATATATTAATAGATAATTGCATGTCAATAAAGTATTTATGGAAAGAATAGAAAACATATATAATAATATATTAATAGATAATTGCATGTCAATAAAGTATTTATGGAAAGAATAGAAAACATAGAATTGTCCTAAAATTATACCATGAAACTCATATAAGAAAATTTCAAATAGCATTCTTATGTTTAGGTAACAAGATAAAAGGTATAAACATTAAATTTTAGAAAACATTAGGATATTTAAGCGCATCAAGATGCATTATCTAAAATTTTAAAAAAAGTACAACAAGATACAAGTGGAGGTATATAAGTATAATTTTGGTAAATTACAAGGTATTTAAGTTCAGTTAAGCCTAGAAAAGATTTGAAACATTTGTTATCTATAAACAATAGTATATGATCCTATTAATAAACAATATTCATCATACAATATGAGGCCAGATGCTAAGCTTATATTTATATAGTAGAGGAGATGTGAAAAAAATTAAAGCATCATATTTTGAATGAGCCTTAATATTTTGAATTATTTCTTAAAATTATATACTTCGCTTAGAAAACTATAAAAGAGGCTTTTGAAGGACTACTACAAAGTGTTTGACATCAAATAAATACTAAAAAACCAAATTCTATAATATCGGGACAATAGTCAACGATCAGAATATTAAAATTCCAAGTATTATGTCTGGACTCTAACAATGGGAATGTTGAGTGCACAGACACATCAGAATTTTGAGTGGATTAGACCAGAAAGAATTTTAGTGGTCCCACTGTTAATTGATTTGATCAGTAAGGGATTTTGTGGTGGAGAACTATGAATTATCAAGCACTCAATAATTACACCGTGGGAGTTTCGTAAGGGAAGAATGATCCAACGAAGTGATCAAATCTCGTCTTAGCAAAAGAGTGTTTGGAAGTTAGCGGAATTGATCCCGACAATGAGATGTGTTTCACCCTTGAACATTCAAAGTCCAAGTAGGAGTTTCTCATTGAGATGTGTTTCACCCTTGAACATTCAAAGTCCAAGTAGGAGTTTCTCATTTATCACTTCTTTGTAGTGATCGGGTTATCCCTAAGAATACACCGTAGGAGTTTCTCATTTATCACTTCTTTGTAGTGATCGGGTTATCCCTAAGAATACACCGTATAACATTCTTCCAGAAACTTTTCGTTACATGAATCATCCACCCCCAGCTTCCTTTGCGAAACCGGGTCTAACATTGTACTTAGTTGGATAACCGGGTTATCCTTAAAAATACCAGGCATGACACTCTCCAGGAACTTCCCATGAAAGAAAGAAAAGAGTTTAGACTCATATACCTGTTGGAGTATTGAGAAGAAGTTTATACTCGTATACTTTCGGAGTGCCGAAAGGAGCAGTTTATACTTTTATACTTGTCGGAGTCTCCCATTCGGCTTAATTTAGCGTTATGACGCCGGCTTCAATCAAGGTTTGGATGTCATTTTTGAGAACAAAACAAGCCTTGGTGGGATGAATGATCCTCCTGTGGTACGCACAGTACTTTGGATCCGAAGTATTGTCAGCTTCCTCCTGATTTACGATAGGTGGTAACTTGATCTTATTGTTTTCAAGGAGGGATTCGAAAATGACTGGAACGTCCTTGTCCTTGAAGGAGTACTCTTTTTTGAGTATCGGATCCGAAGTCTTTTGTTATTTTCGGGGTTGTTGTGACGTCTGATTAACGTCAACAACTGTTGTAGATGTCTTCCCCTTACCACGGGAGACGAATCTTGAGTTCGCAGGATTAGCCGTCGGTTGGCTTCTTTCGGTTTTCTTCCTTATGAGGAAGCGTTCGGCTTGCTCTCCGCGCACCTTCAACTCTTTTCAGTTGTTAGATGGTGCTACTCCCATAATTTTTAAGATATCAATGAACAGGTTGTTATGACAGGTTTGGAGGATGAAATTCTTTGTGACTGGATCGCGGTAATTCATCGCCTTATTTCGAAAGCGCTTGACGAAGTCGTCGACCGTCTCTTCGTCTTCCTGTTTCTCCTCAAAGAACGTCCTGATTGATACCTCGGTGTCATCATCAAAGAAATTGCTAAGAAATGAGCTTTCCATGTCATTCCAGCTGTTGACGCTTCCAGACTTGAAACAGCGGTACCAATCGAATGTAACCCCGTGAAGGGTGCCCACGAATGACCGAACCATCAAGGCTTTATTACCAGAAATCATACCCAAGTGGGACTTGAAGTAGATCAGATGTTGAGTGGGCGAGCCCTTCCCATCGAACGACGTGAAGTTGATCAGGTTGAACTTCGCCGGATACGGGATCGACTCCCACTCTCTTAGGTAATGACACGAAATACCAGTCTTCTTCACCTCTCAAGCAAACATCAGAGAGTTGATTTTGCTCTCAAGATCTTTCATCTTTTCGTCCTCATATGTATCATGCTTTGGACGATTTTTGAGAGAAACAATGCGGCCACCCCGGCATTGTCATCTTCGGTGGGATCACCCCTAACGCTGTTGTGTTCGGTAGGGCCACCCACAACATTTTGGTCAATGGAATGGTTGCTTTCATTGAGGTTTTTGTTCATATCTGAATCGTCATCTGCTTGGTTAGCAATGTTACGACGGCTGGATTCACCAAGTTGATTGGACAGAGCCCGAATCTGTTGGTCATGCTTTTCCTTCATCCGCATCATGGTCATTTCCAATTCGAACTTGAAGTTCTCTTTTTGCTTAGCCAAAGTATCCTCGATGATTTTGACCATTTGCTCGGTGTTGATCATAAATGCGTCACGAGATTGTCCTGGGCTGGATACCGTATTGTCAGAAACGATTGCAGAGTTAGCATCTGATGCTTCATCATCCGAGGATAATCCCCTCTATATTTTCTGATAATCCCTTCGTCTAATGGTTCCCGATTGCAACCGGGTTAGGCGATGCGATATGAGTGGTTCAGAACTGGAAGGTCGAGTTGACTTTTCTCTATCTGCCATGTTAATTGTGACTTTTGGAAATTCGTCATCTTGAACGGCTGATCGTTTCTTGCGGAAACGTCTTGGCTTAGTATTTGATGCTTCAGAGGAAAATATTTGGAATATCGAGACCCTCTGTGGAGCGGTTTTGGGACAGCTACACGCTGATAATACTGTCCTAATAAGTTTGGCACACGGATAATGAAAGTCCGTTTCCTAAGTATTTCTCTTTCAAGATTTGTTCGTACCCCCAGCCCGATTGTACAACTTCCCAAGTGTACTGGCACAATTTCCCAAGTGTGCTGGCATAATTTCCCAAGTGTAACGTTATCATCATCAGACGAATACGTTTTCTTCTGGGAATACAACGCTTTGTTAGCGTCTTCAAGAGTCACATGCTTGGAGTTACCCCTTTGTGAGTGCGGGACCTCAACGGGCTCTTGGACTTCGACTCGTAATCCAATGCGGTCAGTTACTGGAATTTTCCCTTTATGAGAAGGCTCGGAC